TTGGTTTTGCTTAAACTTACCCAGTAGCGAGTCGTCAGTGCTCACCACTAACGGCCTTCACTGGCAGGAGATGTAATACAAGTTAAGAAGTATATGACTTAATGGATCGAAGCGTCTTATCTCACTCTTACCTTTTTTCATACTATTCCTTCATGCTGTAATCTATCGCCTTTTCGCTGTTTAAATTTCCAGGGTCAAACTGGTTGTTACAGTCGGCTTAGTCATTTCAAGAGTTTGCATTGGAGCGGGCCTGGGTGACTTGGACACCAGGATCCGCAGTGAAAAGCCCTCATCTGTATCTCCCATATAAGATACAAATCAAAATTTCCTCTGTGTTCACTTTCTATGAGAGGCGGAAACACGAAAATATTTCGAAGCTGACACAGATCCCATCAGCAAAACTTTTTAGTGCGGCTGTCAGTGGCTGCCTTTTTCGAGAATTGCTTCATAATGAAACACAAGCCATTTATTGACACAAAAATCCTCACTGCAGATGCAGCACGTGGAATCTCGTCCACGTGATCCGAAGGAAGATATGCGAAAATTATTGGGTGTTCTTGTTGCGATGCAGGAAGAAATTCAGCGTAGCGGACGTGTGGATAATTCGACAGTCAATCGTTTATACACCGAAATGGGCGTTTCGGGTGGAATTGCTGAAGCAGATAACCTGGTTACACAACTCTGTCGTATGTTGGCCAACGAAAGCAGCAGCAGCAGCAGCAGCGGCATTAGAGGAGGAGGAGGAGGAGGAGAACTGTCATCTGCCAATGCGTCTTTCAATCCAACACCTAATTTAAATCAGTTCGGTATGTTCAACATTTTTTTTTTTTGTTAAAGGCGGCAATTCGGATTTGTGAAATCGGTGATTTGATTGTGGTGCAATATTGTGGAAAATCCAGTCATATCTTGCAATTCTTGGTCCTAAATGAGTTTCATTATTCCCGCTGTTTCCAACTGCTGCTTTCTAAACTGAGGAAGGAAAAAGGAGGAGGGTATTTTGACCCACTGTAATGTA